GATTATGGAAAGCAGGGTATCAGTGGGTGATAGAGGTAGTTTCAGGGCATTAGGAGGAAATTGGTGGGGTTTTTTTATTGTGGTGATAACACACGTAACAAAACATACACCGTCTCAACAATTCTACATATATAGTTCAGTAACGTTGATTACGTTCTTCAAGTTGTGCGACCATTCTCTCTGTCCTTTTTTTGTAGTTTTTGTAGACGTAGATAAACTGCTTCTAAAATTCATTTGGAGAGGCATAGGCCCTAGAATAGCTTAAAGAATCTTGAGGGGAGGAAAAAAAGTGAATAAAGTGGAAGAAACCACTCTACCTAATATTAAAACCCAGTTGCCATTGAATCAATTCTGATTCATGGCAACCCCATGTGTGTCAGAGGAGAACTGTGTTTCATAGAGTTTTTAGTGGATGATTTTTTAGAAGTAGGTCTGCAGGCCTTTTTTCTGAGGTACCTGTGAGTGGACTCGAACCTCCAACCTTTCAGTTAGCATCTGAGTAAGTTAGCTATTTGCACCCCTGAGGACACCATCTGATAATTAAGATGTACTCCGTAGCTACAGTAACCAATACACTGTGGTATTGGTGAAAGGATAGAAACATAAATCATGGCACAGAATAGAAGACTAAGAAATAGACCCACACATATATGGCCATCTAATTTTTTGGCAGTGGTGCAAAGAGAATTCCATAGAGGAGGGATAGATAGACTTTTCAACAAATTGGTGCTGGAGCAAATGGATATCCATAGGCAAAAAAGGAACTTCAGCTTAAACCTCATACCTATGTAAAAATTAACTCAAAATGGATCACAGACTTAAATGTAAGAGATAAAATTAAGAAAAATAATAGGAGAAAATCTTTGGATCTGGGGCTAGGGAAAGAGTTCTTAAACTTGACAGCAAAAGTATGATCCATAAAAGTAAAAACTGATAAATTGGACCTCACCAAAATTAAAAATGCTTGATCTGTAAAAGATCCTTTTAAGACGATGAAAAGACAGGCTGTAGGTTAGGAGGAAATACTTGAAAACCACAAATCTGACAGAAGACTCATATCTAGGATATTTAAATAACTCTCAAAACTCAACAGCAAAAAAATCAAGCAGTTCAATTAGAAAATGGGCAAAAGACATGAAAATATATTACACCAAAGAGGCTATAAAGATGGAAAATAAGCACATGAAAAGATTTTTAATATCATTAACCATTAGAGAAATGCAAATTAAAATCCCGATGAGCTATCACTACATTGCTATTAAAATGACTAAAATAAAAAATAGCAACAACAGCAAATGCTAGCAAGGATGAGGAGAAACTGGATCACTCGTCATTACTGGTGGGAATGTTGTATAGTACAGCCACTCTGGCATGTCTTATAGAACTAAACCTGTAACTATCAGTCAACCCAACAATTGCACTCATGGGCATTTGTTCCAGAGAAGTGATAACTTATGTCTACACAAAAACTTACACACTGTTGTTCACGCAGCTTTTTCATGATATCGCAAAACTAGAAACAACCCAAGTGTCCTTCAGTGGTGTGATGGTTAAGATTGTGTGTCAACTTGGCCAGGCCATGATTCTCAGTGTTTTGACAGCCATGTAATGTTGTGATCATTTCCCTGTTGAGATCTGATACGTGATCACCCCCACAATGGGATCTTCTGTGAGTAGTACGGGTGGGGGTGGGGCCTGCCCCCTCAGCCTTCATCTCTCCGCCCTCTGTCACCTAGTCCTTCCTGCTCTCCTTGCCGGAGCTTTTGCTTGTTCTGGATCCTGCAACTGGCTTCTGTTCATCTGACCTCCAGTTCTTGGGACTTCAGCCAACAGCTTACCTGTGGTCTTGGCTGCCGATCTTGGGATTCGTCGATCTTCATGGCCTGTGAGCAACAGCCCTGCTCTCCGGCCTGCTGATCTTGGGTTCACCAGCCCCTGCAGCTATGTGAATCAGGAGAAGCCTCTCTCCTGACCCATGGACTTGGGACATTCCAGCCTCTACAACCATCTAAGCCATTTCCTTGATATAAATCTCTCCCTCTTTCTGTCTCTCTCTCTGTATATATATATTTATACGCTTTACTGGTTTGCTTCTCTAGAGAACCGAGCCTAAGACAAATGGGTAAATGATTAACCAAACTGTGGTGAATTGATGACCATGGAACACTACTCAACAATAAAAAGGAACAAACTATTTATACATACAGTAACTTGGATGAATCTCCAGGGAATTATGCTGAGTAAAAAAACGCTAATCCAAAAAGATTACTGTGTGATTTGATTTACAAATGACAGAATTCTAGAAATGGTGAACAGGTTAGTGGTTGCCAGAAGTCAAGGGGGTAGCAGTGGGGAGGGAGAGAGGTATGGCTTTAAAAGGGCAACACGAGGGAGCCTTGCATTAAAGCAACTGTTCAGAAGGGTAGAAAATATTTGTAAATCATATCTGGACCTGTATCCAGACTATTTAAAGAACTCTTAAACTTAATAAAAGAAGTTAAATAATTAAGAAATGGGCAAAGGATCTGAATAGATGTTTCTTCAGAGAAGATATATAAATGACCAACAAGCACGTGAAAAGATGTTCAGCATCATTAGTCATTAGGGAAATGTGAATCAAAACCGCAATATGATACCAGTCCATGCTCACTAAAAACAAACCAGTTACCGTCCAGTCCGTTCCAACTCATAACAACCCCACGTGCTGCAGACAGTTTTCAGTGGCTGTGATCTTTCAGAAGTAGGTCACCAGGACTTTCTTCTGAAGCACCTCTAGGTGAATTTAAACTGCCAACCTTTTGGTTACTAGCTGAGCGCCAAACTATTTGCACCACCCAAGGACTCCTGCATGCTCACTAGGATGCTATAATTAAGAAGACAGACAATGACACGTGTTTATGAGCGTGGTGAAATGGGTTCTTTTATGTGGCCTGTTGTCTTGGTTCTTTGGAAAAACAGCTTGGAAGGTGCATACCAATCACAGGGCAGGCTGCACCTTGCAGGAGGTGGTCAGTAGACTATGCAAATGAAGTATCTGTAGCCAACTCTGCAGATGAAGCTTCTGTGGCCTCCTGCCAACTCTGCAGATGAAGCATCTGTGGCCTCCCCAGAGGGGATTGGTCAGTTTGTGGCCCTCCCTTAACGCTGACAAGGAATTGTGTATATTTGCAACCAACCCCAAAGAGATTTTTCAAACAGGAAGAAGCAGAAAGGAGAAAAGGCAAGAGAGAAGAAACAGAGAAAGGAGGCAAGGAACCTCCCAAAAGAGCTGTAACATGGGTCAAGGACTGTAACAGTGAAGACAGTGACAGGCCTGGAAGGGACCCTGTGGCAGAGTTGGTGGTAACAGATGGCAGGGCCAAGAGGAGCCTGTCCTCAGGGTGCTGAGAGGAGGCCTGCATGGCCGAGAGCTGTCCTGCACTGAAGAAGGGAGATTTTGTCTACATGCTTCCTGATCCTGATCCTGATCCTGAGTTGTACCCTGTTACTTCCTTAATAAACCACTTAATTTTAAGTATGGTCTGTGAGTTCTATGTGGCCATTGCAATGGATTATTGAACCCAGAAGAGAAGTACAGAGTGCTATGGGGAGGACAGCTGGTGTCAGAATTGTTAAAAAAAAAAAAAAAAGTTGAAGGGTGGAGGTATGTCTGACTTTCACCTCATGGAAATCAGCTTTGGGCTGATTCTGGTCTTTATCCCCCTGAACTTAGACAGGTTCTGACGACACTACTACCGCCACCATTTTACAATGAGGATATGAAGAAATTGGAACCCTGATCCATTGCTGGTGGCAATGTAACGTGGTAGAGCCACTTTGCAAAACAATTTTGACAGTTCCTCAAAAAGTTAAAAATAGTTATTATATGACCCAGCAATTCCACTCCTAGGTATATACCCAAGAGAATTGGAAACATGTCCACATGAAAACATGCATGCAAATCTTCATAGAAGCATTATTCATAGTAGACAAAAAGTGCCAACCACCCAAATGTCCATCAACTGATGAATGGATAACCATACAGTGGAGTATTAGTCAACCACAAAAGGGAATAAGGTACTGATGCATACTACAACATGGATGAACTTTGAAAACATTACACTAAGTGAAAGAAGCTGTATAAAAGCCCACATACTGTATAATTTCATTTATATGAAATACCCAGAATAGGCAAATCTGTAGACATAGAAAGTAGGTAAGTGGTTGCCAGGGGATGGGGAGAGGAAGGAATAGGGTGTGACGACTAATGGGTATGGGGTTTTTGGAGGAGGTGATAAAATGTTCTAAAATTAGATTGTGGTCATGGCTGTACAAGTCTTGACTATACTAAAATCTAACTGTACAATTTAAATGAATGAGTTTAGTCCCTGGGTGGTGGAATGGTTAATGCACTTGGCTGCTGACTGAAAGGTCATAAGTTCAGGTACACTCAGAAGTGCCTTGGAAGAAAGCCTGGTGAACTATTCTGAAAAATCAGCCATTGAAATTGTATTTCAATAAAGCTATTTTAAAAATTGTATCATTTATTTAATATTGATAGACACTTAGAATCTATCTAGTTTTTTCTGTTACAATTCTGCAGGGAATAGTACATTTGTCTTTATGCCCTAGCCTTCATGATATTTCTATAAAATATAGTCTTAGAAGTAGGTTTGTTGGTCATTAGGCAGTGTACATTCTTTATTGTGAAAGTAACCTCACAATAACCAATTGTAGAGTAGCATATTATTTAGGGCACTTAGACACTTTGAATATCTGTAAAAGTGGAGTTTCATGTGCAATCCTATGTGAAGAGTTAGTTGGATAACCCTGGGTGCTCTTGTGGAGGAAGAGGAGAATGTGAGAGATTGAATAGGGGGAAGGAGGGAGAAAGAAAAGAGTGAGCAGGTCAATAGTAACATCCTGTGGTGTTTTCTGCTGTATTTCCTTCCAGACTTTGTAGAGAGCTTTTCCTCTTGGGATGAACTGGACTAGTTTCTGTTCTGATTTTGCTCTATTAGGTGAAGGCATCCTTATCTCGTCGGAGGCTACAGAGCTTCTGGATTTCATAGATAACCAGGGCCAGGTGCATGTAATCCAGAAATACCTTGAGCACCCTCTGCTTCTTGAGCCAGGTCATCGCAAGTTTGACATTCGGTAATGTATCAGTATCTTCAGTTCTCGTTTTTATGAATCTGAAAGGGTGATATGGTATATGGTGAAGAGTGGAATGAAGTATTTGACTGTGTTTAGTATGTTACCAAAATGAAGCACAGCTGAATGAAAGTGAGCTTCCGTACCTGATTTTTTTTCATTCAGTATTTTTTTTTTCTAGAAAATATTAGATTATAGACTTTCTTTTTTTATATTGTCTTTCACTAAAATGACTTGTGGTTCCACAGAGGGTATAAATGTCTGGGCTTGCTTGTGGGAGAAGATGAGAGATGTACATAGAACACATAATTCAGATACAACAGATCATGTGACTCTGCCAAATAATGTGTCCTCATTTCATTATTTGTGCCCCATTTTTTATGGATTTCATGAACACATCACCACATTTGGAGTTAGATATTTGGATTTTAACTTTCTGAGCAAAGGACTTGACAATGGACGAGATTGTGCGGTGCTTTCCCGAGCTTGCCTTGACCTTGCTGTCATTTCCTCAAGGACTGTCTGTCTCCTTGATGCCTTCATCATGACTTGCTGCATCCTTAATATCAGTCGTGTCATACTAGCTCTAGAATGAGGCACTTTGAGTATCTTCCTCTTAAGATTATTAAAAGAGCAAACATTGCAAACGTAGACCTCATAGGTTAACCTTAAAAATCAGTCCATCCAAATATATTCAAAATATTATGTCTTTTGACTGGATCTAAGTCTCCTTGTCATTTATGAGGCAATGTTTCGTTTTCCTCATTGTAGTGATGACCCACTGTCTTGGTTAACTGTTATGGTTTGCCTCATATCATTTTAGAATTTACCTCTTTCCCCCACTCCCCCCACCCCCAGAAAAAAATTCAGGTTGTAGGGATTGATATAGATAATATGGAGAAACTTTGGATGACTTGAGTAAAACAGTGTTTTTTGTTGAATTGCAGGAGCTGGGTCTTGGTAGATCATCAGTATAATATCTACCTCTATAAAGAGGGTGTGCTTCGGACTGCTTCAGAACCATATCATGTTGATAATTTCCAAGACAAAACCTGCCATTTGACCAATCACTGCATTCAAAAGGAGTACTCAAAGAACTATGGAAAGTATGAAGAAGGAAATGAAATGTTCTTTGAGGAGTTTAATCAGTACCTAACAAGTGCTTTGAACATTACCCTGGAAAGTGGTATCTTACTACAAATCAAACATATAATAAGGTAACTTAATTGCATCTTTTTTAGGTTATCTGTTTCTTCTTGAAGTAGCTTTAGGAGTTTGTGCCTTTCAAGAATTGGTCAATTTAAGTTGGCAGATTTATGAGCAAAAATTATTTATAATATTCCCTGATTAGCCTTTTAACTGGAAGATCTATAATGGTGTTATTTTTTTAACTCCTGATATTGGTGAATTGTGTCTTCTCACTGTTTTACTTGGACAGATTGGCTATAGGTTTATCAATTTTATTAATCTTTTCAAAACATCAGCTTTTAGTTTTATTAATTTTCACTACTGTTTTTGCTTTCAATTTTTATGATTTATGCACTTTATTATTTCCTTCTACTTTTTCAGGGTTTAATTTTCTCTTTTTCTAGTTTTTTTAAGGTGAAACATTAGATTACTGATAAGAGATATTTCTTTTTTTTAATATGATCATTTAATGCTGTCAGTTTCCCTCTAAGCACTGCATTAGCTGCATCTTACTGATTTTGATGTTTCATTTTCATTTTATTGAAATATTTTCTACTTTCCCTCATGACTTTATCTTTGACTTAAGTGGTGTTTAGAAATTTCTTGTTTAGTTTCCAAATATTTGGAGATTTTCCAGATATCTTTCTGTTATTGATTTCTACTTTAATTCCATTATAGCCAGAGGGTATACTATGTGTGGTTTCATTTCTTTAAAATTTGTAAAGGTTTGTTACATGGCCCAGCATATGAGGTCTATCTTATTGAATGTTCCAAGTACAATGAAAAGAATGTATATTTTGCTTCTGTTGGGTGGAGTGTTCTGTAAATGTCAGTTAAGTTAAAGTGGTTGATAGTGCTCAAGTCTTCTGTATTCTTGCTGATTTTCTGTTCTACTTGTTCTTTCTGTTACTGAGACAGAAGTATTGAAGTCTTCAGGTAGAATTATGGATTTGTCTGTTTCTCCTTTCTGTTTTATCAGTATTTACTTCATATATTTTGAAGCTGTATTGCTAATTGCATATGTATTTAGGATTGTTATGTATGTCAGTTTGTTGTACTATGGTGTCTTGCGTGTTGCTGTGATGCTGGAAGTTATGCCACTGGTATTTCAAGTTCTAGCAGGGTCACCCGTGGTGGACAGGTTTCATGTGAGCTTCCAGACTAAGACAGACAAGGAAGAAGGACCTGGCAGTCTACTTCTGAAAAAAATTAGCCAGTGAAAACTTTATGAATAGCAGCAGAATATTGTCTGATATAGTGCCGGAAGATGACCCGTTAGATTGGAATGCACTTAAAATACAACTGGGGAAGAGCTGCCTCCTCAAAGTAGAGTCAACCTTAATGACATGGATGGAGTCAAGCTTTTGGGACTTTGTTTGCTGATGTGGCAGGACTCAAAATGAGAAGAAACAACTGTGCAGACATCCATTAATAATAGGAACATGGAGTGTACAAAGTATGACTGTAGAAAAATTGGAAATCATCAGAAATGAAGAGCGCATAAACATCATTATCCTAGGCATTAGTGAGCTGAAATGGACTGATATTGGCCGTTTTGAATCAGACAATCATATGGTCCACTATGCCGGGAATGACAAATTGAAGAGGAATGATGTCACATTCACTGTCAAAAGGAACATTTCAAGATCTATCCTGAAGTACAACATCCATATGCCTACAAGGAAGACCAGTTAATACAACTATTATTCAAATTTACGCACCAACTACTAAGGCAAAAGATGAAGAAATTGAAAGTTTTTATCAACTTCTGTAGTCTGAAATTGATCAAACATTCAATCAGGATGCATTGATAATTAACTGGTGATTGGAATGGGAAAGTTGGAAACAAAGAAGAGGGAGTGGTGGTTGGAAAATATGGCTATCATGGATTAAATTGTGTCCTCCAAAAATATGTGTCAACTTGATTAGGCCATGATTCCCAGTATTGTGTGGTTTTCCTCCATTTTTTGATTGATATAATTTTCCTATATATTGTAAATCCTAATCTCTGCCTGTGGTTAATGAGGCAAGATTGGATTATGTTGAAGAGAATTAGGGTGGGATGTAACACCCTTGCTCAGATCACACCCCTGATCCAGTGTAAAGGGGGTTTCCCTGGGGTGTGGCCTGCACAACCTTTTATCTTACAAGACATAAAAGGAAAGGGAAGCGAGCAGAGAGTAGGGGACCGCATACCACCAAGAAAGCAGTGCTGGGAGCAGAGCGTGTCCTTTGAACCTGGGGTTCCTGCGTGGAGAAGCTCCTAGTCCAGGGGAAGATTGATGGCAAGGACCTTCCTTCAGAGCCGACAGAGAGAGAAAGACCTCCCCTGGAGCTGACACCCTGAATTTGAACTTCTAGCCTACTAGACTGTGAGAAAATAAATTTCTCTTTGTTAAAGCCATCCACTTGTTGTATTTCTATTATAGCAGCGCTAGATGACTAAGACAATGGCCTTGGTGATAGAAATGATGCTGGAGATCACATGATGGAATTTTGCAAGACCAATGACTTCTCCATTGCAAATACATTTTTTCAACAAGATAAACAGTGACTATACACATGGACCTCGCAGGATGCAATACAGAGGAATCAAATCAACTACATCTGTGGAAAAAGATGATGGAAAAGCTCAATATCATCAGTCAGAACAATGCCAGGGGCTAACTGTGGAACAGACCATCAGTTGCTCTTGTGCAAGTTCAAGTTGAAGCTGAAGAAAATTAGAACAAATCCATGAAAGCCAAAGTACGACCGTAAGTATATCCCACCTGAATTTAGAGACCATCTCAAGAATAGATTTGACTCATTGAAAACTAATGACCGAAGAGCAGACGAGTTGCGGAATGACATCAAGGACATCATACATGAAGAAAGCAAGAAGTCATTGAAAAGAAAGAAAGAAATGACCAAAATAGATGTCAGAAGAGACTCTGGAGCTTGCTGTTGAACGTAGAATAGCTAAAATGAAAGGAAGAAATGATGAAGAGGGCTGAACAGAAGATTTCAAAGGGCAGCTCAAGAAGACAAAGTATTATAACAAAATGTGCAAAGACCTGGAGTTAGAAAACCAAAAGGGAAGAACACGTTTGGCATTTCTCAAGCTGATAGAACTGAAGAAAAAGTTCAAGCCTCAAGCTGCAATACTGAAGGATTCTATAAGGAAGATATTGAACGATGCAGGAAGCATCAAAAGAAGATGGAAGGAATACACAGAATCACTCTACCAAAAAGAATTGGTTGACGTTCAGCCATTTCAGGAGACAGCATATGATCAAGAACCAGTGGTTCTGAAGGAAGAAGTCCAAGCTGAACTGAAGGACTGGTGAAAAACAAGGCTGCAGGAATTGATGGAATGAATACCAATTGACATGTCTCAGCAAATGGATGCAATGATGGGAGTGCTCACTCATCTATGCCCAGAAATTTGGAAGACAGTTACCTGGCCAACTGACTGGAAGAGATCTGTATTTGTGCCTATTCCAAAGAAAGGTGATTCAACAGAATGCAGAAATTATAGAACAATATCATTAATATCACATATAAGTAAAATTTTACTGAAGATAATTCAAAAGCATTTAAAGCAGTACATTGACAGGAAACTGCCAGAAATTCAAGCTGCATTCAGAAGAGGATGTGGAACAAGGGATATCTATCATTGCTGATGTCAGACGGATCATGGCTGAAAGCAGAGAACACCAGAAACATGTTTACCTGTCTCTGTCATACATATAAAAATACACAAGACTTTTGACAGGAAAAATTATAAAATTATGTAGTGGAAATGTCAAAGGATGTAAGTATATATAACAACAATAACATAGAAGAGAGAGGGCTACATGAACTATGTGGTTGTATGTTTATTGACTATGCAAAGGCATTCAACTGTGTGGCTCATAACAAATTATGGATAACATTGTGTCACAGATTAAATTATATCCCCCAAAAAATGTGTGTTTCAGTTTGGCTGGGCCATGATTTCTGGTTTTGTGTGGTTGTTCTCCATTTTGTGATTGTAATTTTATGTTAAAGAGGATTAGGGTGGGATTGTAACACCACCCTTACTCAGGTCACATCCCTGATCCAGTGTAAAGGAGTTTCCATAGGGTGTGGCCTGTACCACCTTTTATCTCCCAAGAGATGAAAGGGAAGCAAGCAGAGAGTTGAGAACCTCATACCACCAAGAAAGCAGTGCCGGGAGCAGAGCACATCCTTTGGACCTGAGATTCCTGTGCCGAGAAGCTCCCAGACCAAGGGAAGACTGATGCATCACAAGGACCTTCCTTCAGAGCCAACAGAGAGAGAAAGCCTTCCCCTGGAGCTGACGCCCTGAATTTGGACTTGTAGCCTACTAGACTGTGAGAGAATAAATTTCTTTTGTTAAAGCCGTCCACTGTTAGAGCAGCACTAGATGACTAAGACACATTGTGAAGAATGGGAATTTCAGAACATTTAATTGTGCTCATGAGGAACCTGTACATAGACCAAGAGACATTTGTTTGAAGAGAACAAGGGATACTGCATGGTTTAAAATCAGGAAACGTGTGCATCAGTGTTGTATCCTTTCACCATACTTATTCAGTCTGTATGCTGACCATATAATCCAAGAAGGTGGACAGTATGAAGAAGAATATGGCATCAGGATTGGAGGAAGACTCATCAACGACCTGTGATATGCAGATGACACAACCTTGCTTGCTGAAAGTAAAGAGGACTTGAAGCACTTACTGATGAAGCCTTCAGTATGGATTACACCTCAACATAAAGAAAACAAAAATCTTCACAACTGAACCAACAAGCAACATCATGATAAATGGAGAAAAGATTGAAGTTGTTAAGGATTTCATTTTACTTGGATCCACAGTCAACGTCCATGGAAGCAGGAGTCAAGAAATCAAACGATACATTACATTGGGCAAAATTACTGCAAAAGACCTCTTTACAATGTTAAAAAGCAAAGATGTCACTTTAAGGACTAAGGTGTGCCTGACCCAAACCATGGTATTTTCAGTCTCCTCATATGCATGCA